AGCAATTTACTTATACAGTTTAGAGGGAAAAAAAGAAATCCCAGGAATTTAGAAAAATGAGTCTTGGCATTGTAAAATATATTGGGGCTAAAAATAAGAAAAGACTTGCATCTATTACCTTGCCCTGACCAAAGACAGTACATGCCAAGAGCCAATTTGACAAAACAAAGATTTTGTTCAGTGCTGTCAACGAAGAATAGGGAATGATCAATGTAAAACAAATGGGAGATTGCTTGAGCTCTCTAACAAATCATAATAGCTTCCTAGAGATTTGAAGATTCAAGGGGAGAGATCATACAAGATAATAGGCAAAGAGAATATAGACATAAGGAGAGAGGGATCGCCTTGACGAATATCACAGTTAGGAAAAATGAAACTAGAAAGCTTACCATTGATTTGAATTTGGTATTGCACAGTAGAGATGCATTGTTGAATCAAATTGATCCATTTGTTAAGAAAGTTCATTGTTTTCATGATAGCAACAATGAAACCCAAGATAGCTTGTCAAAAGCTTTTGGAAAATCTACCTTGAGAACCGTAAGTCTTTTCCTACCCTCCCTTGCTGAATGAATATGAGATGTAGTATCTGTTGCCAATGGTACATTGTCAGAAATTGATCTCCCTTTACAAAATGCACATCGGTTTGGAGCAATAAGCCTCAAGCACCTTTTTAAGATGATCACTAAGGACTTTGGGTAATATCCTATAAGATACATTGCAAAGGCTAATGGGTGTGAAATCTTTAAAAGTTTGGGTCTATCTGTCTTGGGAATAAGGATAATGGTATTTTTATTTAGAGACTTCAAGATATGTTCAAAATACTAGATATGAAAGATCAGATTAAAAATATCCTTAACTACTAATTCCTAGTTTTTTTTTTTTTTGGGGGGTAAAAGCTAGCATGAAACCTGTCTGGTCTAGGAAGCAGTATTGTGGGAGATAAAAAACAACTTCTTTAACTTCTGATCAGGAGATAGGCTTCATTAATAATTGTAGATCATCATTCAATAGAGAGGGTATGGGAAGATGAGAGAGCCCATTTCAAACTTCTTCATAAGATGACACAGGTTGCTGCTGATAAATATCTTTAAAATGATGTGATGCCATATCAAAGAGCTCATTTTCATCAGACGTCCAACTACCACCAGATCTTTGTAAGCTCCTAATAGCATTAGAGGCCGCCCTTTTGTTAACCATCACATGAAAATATCTTTTATTTCTTGCCCTCCTTTATACCATTTGACCATAGCTCTTTGGGCCCCATAGCTGGCCTCGCATTCATACAAGAACCCTAAAACATGTTTAACAATAAGAAAAGGAGAGGATTGAGACTCAGAAGTTGGCCTGCTAAGACCAATCTTCATGGATAAGTCATTGAGCTTTTTCTTAGCCAGGGAAATACGATAAGGTAGATTGCTAAAATTAGATTTGCTCCAATTGATTAGGTTAGAAAGAGTATTGGTCAATTTATTGTGAACTTTAAAAGAAGGCAACCCATAAACCTGATGATTCCAACAATCATGAATACTGGTCTTGAGCTCCTTAAAGTGATACTAGAAGTCTTCAAATCTTCTTGGTTGTAATTTCCAAGTACAGCACTCATGTGAGAATAAGATGGGGTTATGGTTTAAAGCAGCTAAGGGGATAGTATTAACAAGAGAAGGTGGGAAGACTTGTAACTAATTAGAGTTACAAGAAGTCATATCTAGTATCTTCATAACATTTTCTGATTCCCTTCTTTTGTTCGTCCAAGTAAAAACTGAACCATACTAAAAGATTGGAATTAAATTAGTTTTATTCAGACAATTTAAAAAGCTAGAAATGGCAAAAGAATATCCGATTTTCTCATTTTCATCATCCCAAGATAATATTTGACTAAAATCTCCAAGGAGCAAGAGGAATTTGACTATGCTGACATGGACAATACCAAAACTAAAAGTAATAGACGTTTGTAACAATTAATAGAGATTACATTTTTGTTCCATTTGAAAAAGATTTGTGTACAATTTTACATGCAAAGTAACTGTAACATCACCACTTACTAGCTAGAACTAACTATGATAGAAAGGAATAAAACTAGTAAACACTATGAAGCAATCACATTACTAAGAGACTAACCATGATAAAAAGCATTTGACCTCAAATAAGACTATCATAGTTAGAAAAGGAATGACCTATATCTGTAATCATAGCTAACAAGGTTATAAAACAATAAGCCTCAATAAATTATAATAGCAATTCAGATTTGACTATATAGTCAATACTAGCAACAACAAAACTTGCGAAAATTGCCATTATCACATCGTGGATCCACAATAATTCAATCACATGCAATCTAAGGGCCTCAGGCCCACTACCAGCACTCTAGTCTAATGTTCAGACAAAATAAACCAAAGATAGAAGATATAATACGTTCACTAAGTCAAACGACATAAAAATATGAGAAGGTAAAATAAGTCCCAAATGAATTCAGTCCTGATGCGTGGCAATATACAAAAAGATTGCATAAAATAAGGTCCAGAAGCTTTACATTATCAGCTACAGATATTGAGTCTCAAGAGTCTTCCCTGAAGGTCTCGTTAACGTATTGTTTCCTGAAAATAATAAAGCAACGGGAGTGAGGCAACATCTCAGTAACTAAATCCTTACCTATCACACACTCTAGCATGGCCTAGTGAGGTGTCAGGTGGGATACACGGAGTTAACAACAGTTGATAGACATCTATTTAACATTTAAACTCACAATAATCATATAAGACAAATATTTTCACTAATCTCATGCAGTTGATACATTTCAAAAGGAATAACATACTTTTCATTTGTTTAAAAGATATAAATATCAATGAATGTCTCATGTCATATGCAATTCCTGAATCCAAATCCATCCTTATATCCTCCTTATTTCCGCCGACTGGACTCGTGGGCTAAGTTCTTCCCATTTGACTGGCAACTATGACAAGCTCACTACATGAGTGATGTGGACCGGCCAAAGACTACAGAGCACTTGGTGGACCATGGGTCCCCCCTTGAAGAACTAGTAGGGTGTCGCAATCCCTCGAAGAACTAGTGGGACAGTAATAGCGGCCAACCATAGAGCTTTGTATGGAGGCCAATACCACGTGGCAAGTATATGAATATCAATAACTCCAATTATCTCCTTTCCCCACCCAAAATAGATGCACAGGATTCAAAATGACATATTTATATACATAATCAACCAAATTTCATAATAACACATCATAATCATGATCACCAATTTCTTGCAATACAAACTATGTCAATCCTTTTTAAAATAGCATCCCACAAGACAGTTCATACAAATCATAATATACTTCTATAGAATTAGTTATAAAACTACTCACCAACTTCATACTAGAGCATGCAACAGATAGAAATTTAGTTACTTGGTCTCCTGACTAACAGTCAAATACAACCAAAGTCCAACCTCAAAAATGCCACAATAGAGTTTATATCTACAAACGAAATTAAAATGTTATTCCTATAGTATTAGAGTAGACTACTCACAAAATTCTAGCTTTTAATTCCTCCTTTAAAAGCTTTAATTTTTACTCAAATTCTAGCCTAAAAGACTTTTTCTAAGGTTTGGAATGAGAAAATATATATATAATTTAGACTCGATTCCTAAATTTTTCTTAATTATTAGATTATATTATTAGAATCATCAAATTCATAACGTAAATAGACAGACCGTAATTTATAACTTTTGTTCTATCTTCGCATGACTTAGATAAATAGATTTAATACGAGCCAGGTTATTCTCACTACAGAAGTTAAACCCTTAATCTGACTGTTAAATTTAATTTTCTATCTATCATGATACTATCCTCCAAATTATAGCTTAATCTAACGGTAAACGAACTTTAAAATGCTAATTTTCTATTCAAGACTCTATATGCTAAATCTAAAAAAAAAAGTTAAAAATATACATAATAACTTGTAACTCGGAGATCAAAATGACGATCCAACCGTTGAAATTAACAATTTCAATGGCTCAAATGGTTGACCAAATTTCAGTCCGATGCAACGGTTAATAAACTCAAAACTAGCACTTTTTTAGACTATCTCAGATATATGCGAAAATTATCTACTCACTTCAAGCTCCATCCACTATCTCCTATATATAGGCTCCTCAAACTTCTTCACTCTAAAGATTAGCTAATGTGGGACTTCTATACCATGATAATTTTCTAGAATATCATTTACACACACATTCACACACACACTCACACACAAAAACATAATAATAATAATAATAATAATAATAATAATAATAATAATTTGCCTATATCTAGATTTTTATTAACTTAATACTAAAATATTTTACTTATAAATTTAATTAAATACTAGATAAAAATAAAGATGTTACAGTAATATTATGGTATTATGTACAATTTTACGCCCAAAGAAACATTATGCTGTCTGGTGCATAGTTCATGAAATTGATGAGTACATTTACATCTTAACCCTTTATGTGATTAAATGTGTGAATGATATAGAATGTTGATAAGAAAGAGAGAGAATGGGAGAAAGGGAAAGGGAAAGATAAACATAGAAGAAGAGATATGAGAGAGAAACGAAGAAGGAGAAGAATAGAGAAACAGAGGGAGGACAAGAGGGCTGAACCAATTCACATATTTTCACAATGATCTTCGCATACAATGGATTAGAAGGGTTTATTTATATAGGCAACAGGACTGACCCTAATAGCTATATACTCTGACCTGTAACTAACTCTTAGTAACCGTCATGTCATTATTATGATTACATAACAGTGAATGGGTACGCGCATGCTACGAGAATAAAGTTACAAGTAGTTACAGTACTGCAAGGTGAGAAAATTAGACAAAATCAAAATTAACGATTACATTTTCTATAAATAAATTTTTAAAATAAAGAAAACATTTTTTTTACAAGTGCGTATGTATGTGTGTTTATTTTAGTGAAAAGCTTCCCAAATTTGCGATGCTTGAGTTGAAACGTGGGTATAGAAACAGAATTCACATATGAACACCATCTAGATTAAACATAAAAAATTCATCCCTGAACTTGTCCTTCAACGCTCTGATATCATTTTATCCATAACTACAAGTCACTACATTCTTAATACCATATATGAACACGTTCCTCAGTCCTTGTACTTATGATCATGCAATTTAGGAACTTTGTGTTTCTTGGGCAGGTGAAGCAGGTGATTCTCCAGTATCAATGGAGTCTCTTCCCCATGAATTCTGAACCTGTGCCGCAAACTGCAGATTCCAGAGAGCATCTTCCACAGAAGGTCTATCAGTAGGATCTTCTGAGACGCATCTCACACATAACTCCATCATCCTCTTCATTGATTCATCTGAACATTGCTTATGAATTACTGGATCAACAATGCTCCTTCTAGCTATATCATCAGTTGCTAGGCTTACTTGTAACTGCAAAACAGCCACAGAAGCACAATGTTAAAACTGGATACTACTTTCCTACGTCTTAATTAGTAGAGTTAGGTCTCCCGCTATGAAACACTTTCAGAAACGGACCAAAACAACCCGATATATTGAACAAGGAACCAGAATATGGTCTGGTCAAGCTCTGTCACTTGACTAGTGAAACATTACTTAAAATGGTCAGGATTAGCCGAACTGATCAAGTGGGAAGGCTTATCTTGATCGGTTCTTCATCAGGGTGATGTGGCAGCACTAGAGGTTGACACATCACTACGCAGCTTTCCAAAAACTCCAGCGTGGATGGCGTTATGCCCCTAAACCATGAAGCATAGAAACTCCGAAAAAGAGCTACATCTATAACATGCGTCTCTGGCACATTCATTAAACATAGTAACAAAGCCGATATCATGCTCATACTTTCTGATTTATATATAACTTCGGCAATATCAAGATAAATTGATCAAAGCTTTTTATAACTAGAAGGAGACTTATTATATAGCTTAAAAGTTTTGAGTCCAGAATAAATAACACTTACGAGATCCTTTAGTGTTCCAACTTCATTATGGAACAGGATTGTACGTCCTAGAATGATTTCAAGTAAGATTACACCAAAATCGTAGACATCATTTTTATCGCCATCCTTTGTCCTGCAACAAGAAATAATTGAACTACCTTAAATTAAGTGCCAAAACAAGCTAAGCGTTACATGTAATAGATAGAGATAAATTATACTGATAACATTATCTTTGTATTTTGTTTAAAGCATATAACCAATGAAGAGTTTGCTTGAAGGGACATGCAGCTTACAGTAGTCTCTGTTAAAGAATTGCAAAAAGCAGAGAAAAAAGAATTTTATTCTTTCATTTAACTTCTTGGAAGTAGTAGGTAAAGAATTTCAGCATTATCAGATACGAATAAAGATAACTTAGCTTTTAATAATTTCGCAAGAAGTTATTGATTATAAAGTAGAGGTTATATATTAGGTGTGAAAAATGGCCAGAAAGCAGCTAACCGATGCAACTGACTATTGTTTT